AGATTTTGTTATCACTTTTCAGCAATATAGCAAAAAGCTAAATTAATTAAAATTACATAAGGTTCACAAAGTTCTTGTAAAACTTGTTCCACTGCAGTATCTGTATTCAGGACTATGCCAAGAATTTGAAGCATAAGATGTCATTCAGGTGCTCACATTACCTAGGCTTTAAATCAGTGGCCTTTCACTTTATTGATGGGGACAGAATGCAACCCCAGCCATTAACTCTTCCTGTAAAGCAGCACTGAGACATCCACCTTATGTGGGCTCATTTGTCAGTGCCCTGCATCTGGAAAACATCTTTGCTGGAAGAATGATCTGCAGCATGAAGTAGAGTGGGAGGTGAGACTATATTTCTGAAGAATTTAAAAGGGGAGCCAAAGATTTTTATGAGGGCAAAAAAGGGCAAAGGCAATAGACATGTGCAGTTGTGATGATGTAATGCTATGAAGAACAGAGCAGAGCAACAGCAGCTTTGTCACTCCCTGAGAAAAATAAAAAAAAAGATTAAAAATTTGCAATGGTATTTGTCTGTATTGAAGGTCCAAAATTATTTATTACTCAAAGTATGCTTAAATTCTGAAAATGTGTTATAAATGAAATGGCACTATAATCTGGTTGCTGTGAAGCACCACTGAGATGTTTTTGCATTTAATTTTCCAAGCACATTTAAGTTATCAATAATTTTTATTTAAAAAACATTTTAACAAAAATAGAGTGACTTTTTTTTTCTAATTGAAGAAATGACTGCTCTAAAATAATCTTAGAAGTTAGAATTATATACTGCTCATTAAAATATCCAAGAAATTGCCTATTAGGAATATAATTAACATTGTTAGCCCAATGTGTAATAGAATCCATTTTGTCAAACAGGATACAGCATGAATACATTCACCAAAGTAGGTCTGCTATAAGAGAAGGTGTGGTAAGCAAGATCAGTCTGAACATTTGCCAGCAACCTCTGTCAGACAGATAGCAAACCAGCAGGTTTGTTCTCAGTTTTTAAAACAGAAAGAAATAAGATTTTTTTTCTCTTATGAAATGTAATTCAGCAGTGCAGACTTGCTTTAAAGCTTTCAGAGGTAAAGTGAAGTGCCATATAGGAGAATGTAAATATTGAAGTAGTCTTTCCTTTGTTGAGTAAAATGCTCTTTGTACTGCAATGGGGTGGGTTTAGTTATGGTCTTGAGAGTTTAGATTAAAATGGAAAAGCACTATAGCACAAAAGATAACATTTTCTCAAATTTATGGATCAGTACTCCAGAAGATTTGTTTTTACTGAAAGATAGGAAAGGTCTTTTCTCTTTTTTTCTATGTGCTGAGTACTAGCAATATATTCACCCTGAATAATTCATCCTCTGTGTCTCTGACTTTTTGCCTCTTTATGCAAGATCTTTACAGAAGAAGTAACTTTTTTTGGTGGTTTGTTTGTTTTTATTTTGGTTTTGGGTTTTTGTTTTTGTTTTTTTTTTTGTCACTGAAACCTATAGAAACTCAGTAAAAGGAAGGATTCTGCTCAACTGAAACCCTTAGTCACTCCCACGTGAGGGAGTACCTCTAGTATAAAGACAGGCTGAGAAAGCTGGGACTGTTCAGCCTGGAGAAGAGAAAAATTTAGGAAGAACTTATAGCAGCCTTCAGTATCTGAAGGGGCTAAAGAGAGCTGGAGTGGAACTTTTCCCAAGGAGTTCTAACAAGGGGTAATGGCTCTAAACTGTAAGAGCACAGGTTGAGATTAGATATTATAAATCTTTTACTGTGAAGGTGTTGAGACACTGGCACAGGTTGTCCGGAGAAGATGTGGGTGCCCCCTCCCTGGAAGTGTTCAAGGCCAAGTTGGACAGGACTTGGAGCAACCTGGTCTTGAAGAAACTGTGGCAGGAAAGTTGGAACCAGATGATCTTTAAGGTCCCTTCCAACCCAAACCATTCTGTGGTTCTAAGAGCTAACAATGCATTTGTGTGAGCATGAAAGCAGTGCTATGTGTGGAGGCAGCAGCTCATCCAGAAGCAGTACAGCTTCTTTCCTATATTGAAGCTAACCAGCTTTCCTGAAGGGGCATAGCACAAAAAAAATGATATTCTACTGCTTCAAAACCTGTGTCATTTACAGCAAACCACAGCATGGTGAGATTCACTTGCCTAGAAATGGCAAGCTTCTAGTGCTGTTTTAGACTCCCAGATATACAACTCATTGTCTAGGCATTCAGGATGTGCTGCATTATCCTAATATCTCATGTATCCTATAATATATGGAAATTATACTACCTATCAAAGGATCTACATAATATTACTACATTTGTGATTCAGTACAAAATCACTCTCCAACCACAATTTTTTGGGTTTCAGTCCTTTCAGATATCAGGTTCATTCCTATTCCTTTCTCTATCCCCACAGCAACCCCATGTCTGTGTAGTTTGCTGGACCTAGCCTTAGAAACATCTCTTTTTGCAAGTTCTATCTTGAAAGATATTTAATATTCTCAACTTCCATTTAAGACAATAGGATTTGCAGGTGTGCTTTGTGGGACTGAGTCTTATATGAGCAGTTACCAGTTTATGTGATCGGGTAGAGAATTGTTCATCATTATGAGAACACATGAGTCATATCTCTGATCTATGTAAAGAAATAGTGTCTCATTTATGAACAATTTGCCTTCAGGATAACATGAAAATAAATCAGGGGAAGCTACCACAATAACCTTTTGTTGCTTGTATATAACTAGAATTAAAATGCAATTCCTTTCACTCCAAGACTGATTAAAAAATAAAATATACTGAATGATTTATATTCTTGCAAATAAAAACTGGCTTTATTTAGGACCAAAAGTGTATTTCTAGCTCTGCTTTCATTTCATTTCTAATCTGTTCAGAAACAAGAGATGTTCTTCCAAAACAGCAATCTGCTCATTTGCTTGGCAAGAGCAAGCTTTGAAAGTGCCATTTCCACATTGCTGTGCAGCTGTGTGCGAGTGTGTCACTGTCAAAAAATGTGTATCTATCCAATGGTTAGTATGCAATGCTGAGACAAAAAAGTCTCTTGTTCTATTCATCATAATGCTCCTCTCTGTGACTTAGTTTTCCATTTTCATTAAGTGAGGCCAGTCACATACAGGTACAACTGTTTAATAGATTTTGCTTGAAGATCACTCGAGAAAGACATCATATGCGAGGCTGAATTTTTAACACAACTCCTTTGATGAAAATTTTATCATCTAAGGAAACAACTTTCAGAAACTTGTTACTTTTAGCCTCTGTCGACCTGAACTCAGCCTACCTAGTAAATGGAGTAAAATATTTATCCTACTACTGAAATCATACACACAATACACTTAATAATTTAAAATTAATAGAAATGGTGTAAATTTGTTGGATTAAATTAATACCCTTTCAAGCATAAAATATCCTCCTTACAGAACATCAGCTGTGGTTTCTATGTTGCTGTTAACATGCAGCATGGACAAATGAACATAACTGCTGGTGTGGCATGTGAGCAGGAGCCTCTAAATTGGATGGGGGCTCATTTGTCTTCTCTAGCTCAGGGACAATCTCACTTCTTCTAACATCAGCCTCAGGACCACAACGAAACAATTGAAAAAATTATGCTTATGGAAAACTGCAAGGATAAGCATATTTAATTAATTTTACCAGAAGTGATTTCTTCAAAATAAAACAATTTGCCGCAGTACAGACATAAGAACATAGTTCTTATGTCCCCCAGTCCAAGCTCTGTCATTTTGGAGGGAGTCCAAGGGTAGTCTCTCAAATGACTCCTTTTGAGGCTTTTCGAAAACAAAATTATTTTCAGCCTTTCTCACCTGTTGCTAGCCAGATTCTGCTACACCCCACAGTGCAGAGATCCCCATGTTTTGCCTCTTTCTTGCTTTCTGAGGCCTGAATTCAAGTTTCTGCAATGCTACCCAGAATGAATTTCCTTTTCTCAGTGGAACTGGCTTTAGCCTAGATGATGTACAGCTAAACCTCAGATTCCCATATCAGGTCAGTGCATTTCCTGACAAAATCAGTGCTGGAGAATTATTCATATGCATTTCACAGATTTCATACTGTTTTCACTGAATTTAGAGGCAATACACTCAGTGAACTAAGTGAAGACAGTGCTAAGCTTAAAACCCACAATGCCATCCTCCTAAAAATACAAACCCGGGTAAAAACAGTGTATACATTGAAAACCTGGAGTTTGACATACCTGAAAGACAAAGACACAATTTCCAGTATGTTTTTTTTCAATTTCCATTAATTCATTCAGTTTTTGTCCATTTGCAGTTATTGTTCTGAGAGGTACTATTGTATTTGCAGGGAATGCCTCAACAAAGGCAGGAATGATGAATCTGACTCCATATTCTCAGAAGGCTAATTTATTACTTTATAATACTATATTATATTAAAGAGTACTATACTAAAGAATACAGTAAGTAAATGCTAAACAGATAATGAAAACTCCTTACTCTCTCCAGAGTCTCAACACAGCTTGGCCCTGATTGGCCAATGAGTCAAAACAACTCACAGCAGAATCCAATGAAACAATAAACTGTGGGTAAACAATCTCCAAACACATTCCACATGTGAGCACAACACAGGAGAAGCAAATGAGATAAGAATTGTTTTCGTTTTCTCTGAGGTTTCTCAGCTTCCCAGGAGAAAAATCCTGGGCAAAGGGATTTTTTTCAGAGAATGTGAATGCCACAAAGCACTTTTTCCTTTTAAGAAAATGTCCAGGAGAAAACTAACTTTCATCTCTCCCTATGTCATATCTTAAGCATAAAGATTATGATGGAAAGACTCAGAGACAAACCTCCTGTATAATTGGCTTAGTTTAAAAATTGTTCCCAGGTGTTCCGTGTCTCTTTCTTACTCAAAGATTATACGTTTAGCATTTTAATGTCCCACAACTTCTTGCTTAGTTCCCTAGGAGGATATGAAAATGAAGCCACGAAAGCTAAGCTGTTTGGTATTTATCACGAGCACTCTGATTGTGTTTCAGAGCTCTGGGATTTAAACAGGACGTCAGTCTTTCGTAGCCCGTTTGGATATCTTGGACTTCATGTAATGCTGCTGGATGAGTACCAAGAGCGACTGTTCGTGGGAGGAAGAGACCTCTTGTATTCCCTCAGCTTGGATCGAATCAGCGACAACTACCGAGAGGTGGAGTAAAAAGCCATATATGTACATTTATAGTATATATTTATATATATTAGTCACTTCATGTCTCAACACGTAGCACAGGATATTAGAACTTGCATGGCTGAGGTAATGGAGTTTTTGTAGGTGATTTGTGCATGAACTCTAAGGCCATATTTGTATTTAAGAAAAATGCACTAATTACATTTTTTTGTCTCCCCTATTCACCCATAAGGCTCACTCTGTATGAGGAGACTGGGGGTCATATTACTATTTCTCACTGAATTTCAGCATGGTTAGAGATGTATAGAGCACCTCACATTTGTAGACATCTGATTTATCTCCACTATATGATTAAGGAATAATACCTCCCTGGTATTTCTGGGGAGTTGCAGAAGATAAAATTTTAAGGAGAAAAAATAGCATAAATAAAAAATAGCATAGTATTTTTACATTTTATATTTTTAGCATATAGCATACTATATGTTAAAAAATAGCATATAGTAAACTATAAAAAGTTTTCAATAGCAGCATAAACTTTGAAGTTTTTTGGGTTTTTTTAAACTTTAGAAATGTCATTTTGCATTGGTTTGAGCCAGAGGTGCTATTACATAATGACTGAAAGTGGCATTTGAAGGGTACTCAGTGGTCTGTGGGAGAAAGGTGGGTTAAGTCATAATCCTGGCAGAGAGCTCAGAACTTTGTGGAAACCACAAGTGATTGGCAAACTGACAACTGAAGTGGAGAGGCTGGAGGCTGAGCTGATGTGAGCCTTGGATTCCTTACTCACTTCTGCCCTTGGAAGCTAGAACTGGAAAATAGAGTGGCAAGGGAAGCTGGCAGGAGCATTGTTCCATTGTTCAACTATTTTGAATGCAGATAAATGATGTCTTGAAATATTTCAGTGTTTTCCTTATCTATTTTTTAAAATTTTCCCAATGTGTTTTGATGTATTTTCATTTATTTGCAAATTAATAATCAGAATAAAAAGTGAATAAATGAAATAAAGTCACTTGGGAGAAATATTTTTGATTTCTATACTGCACTGTCCAGTGATGTTTCAAAACCTTTTTTTTTTTTTTTTTGCCCTCTTGCTTAAAGTGAATATCACTATTCTTATGTCAACACTGTGACCAACTTTACCATAAGTATCTTTACTTATCTCCAAGCATAATTAGCACGTTCCATTACTGTTATGGGATATGAATCTTTTCAGGGAGGCTATTTGAGAATTTATCTACATTAAAAAAAATCGCCCAGAATTTAATTCCTCAGCAGGCAGAGTTACATACTGAGCTTTGTTCCTCAACAGTGAGATATAAGCTAATTCCTTTTCAGTTTGATACAGATTATTAATATCCTGTGACAAGATATTAGAGCTCACAGATACAAAAACATTTAGAACAGCATTTTTTTTTCTATAAAACAAGCTTTTTGTCTCCACTCTCTTCTTCCCTCTTTGGCAGTAGATCTGTGAGGGAAGATGACAGGATAGAGCACTTCATGCTTCTGTCCAACCACCATCATCCCATCTGGACACACTCAAAGTTCATTGCTCCCCTTCTTGTTTTTAAGTGGAATATCAGCCATTTACTCTGAAACCATGTTCTCTGTCTGGAGACCTGTGTAGAGTATGGCAAAGTGATGAAAACTCTTCGTGCCTTTTTTTATGCTAAAGATGAGAAACTGAAATAAATAAAGCTTGGCCTGGCACCTTTGGAAACATGGTGCAATCTCACTGTACAAATGGCATGAGCTTTTTCTCTTTTTCCCAGAGTTCACTCAGTGCAAATCTCATTCAAGGATAGTTAAGGAAAGTATGATAGTCTTGCAGCTATATCAGTAAAAGTGTGGAATGAGACATTTCTGTTATAGGAATCCTTAATTGCTGAAATACATTGGAGAAAGTTCCTGGAGTTGAGAGAGTGGTTGATTAATTATTGCCAAAGTTCTTAATTAATTGATGTTTAACTGTGTCTTGGTTAGTTTTTGACCTTTTCTTTCAGACTGAAGAATTTAGCTTAATTAATCTAAACTGGAAGTTGCAATCCACTGAAAGTGTATGAGTGCAGGCAAGTTCCTGGATTTTATGCTCTCTCTGGTAACCAGGATGACTCACTATCTGCAAAAGAAAGGTTTCATGAAGTTTTGGGAAGATTAATGCAAATCTTCGTCTTCTCTGACCCAGAAAACAGTTTATGTACTTTAAATCATAGTCATTCCTTTCTCAACAATTTAGAATATGAATATGCTTTCTAAAAACTAAACTGAAATCCGTTCCCAACTAGAGATTTATGCCTTTTGCTGTAAAATGACCAAAGAATTCAGTTCTAGCCAGCATATTAGAAGTTATCCCAAAGAAAAACAACTAAATGCTGAGTGGACATAAAATGCTTTTGCATTGAGACCTGTTTACTGCCAAAGTAATCCAACATTTCCAAAAAACTTAACTTGCGAGGCATGTGAGGTATGCCTCCTATAAATCTGTATTTATTTAATAGACTACATGTTTTCTTCCAGTTCAATTTCTTCAGCTTTCAAACACACTGCAACACTCTGAAGGATAGATTATAGCTTTTTCATGTAACCTAATGGCTGTTTATATAAATGTCTACCAAATTATTTTAAATACATTTTATCCTTACCAATTTTTCATATACACTAAAAAAAATTGTAAAAAAAAACTGGGGAAAAAGGCCTTCAGGAAAAAATACTACTACTGTCATTCTTGCATTGGTGAGGGAATCCAGACATTTGGGTTGAGCTCTCAGCTGTAGCAAAAACCTTCCATGTCACCTGGGAAAAGGAAAGGCCCTCACTTCTCTATTTGTCCAGTAATGTTTATTTTGCCTACTTTGCTCTTTGTTTCTCTCATTTAATACATACAGAGTGTATTATTATTATTATTATATTCTTGCTTAGAGTATTTAACACATAATGGTTATGAACATGGCTTTATGGTTTTGAACATTACTTAGATGTCTTGTTTCTATGTGAAAAGTGCCCTTACACTAAGAATGAGGGAGAATATGAGATGTGAGTATCAGTGTTTGCAGAGAATTAGAGCCATATAAGCACTCAAAAGCTTGTGTAAAGACAAAGCTTTGTGGGCAAATTTCACTTAACCTTTGTTTTTTCTAAGAGCTTATTTCCTTTGACACCATTTTTGGAATAAATCCTTACTCATATTTGAGATTTGGTCCAAAGCCTTCAAGCCTGTAGTGATCTAGAAGATAGAGAACTTTCTTTGGTGTCTGGTGCCAAATTTGTTTTTAAAAACATTGCAGTTTATTGTAATTGGTGCCAGAGAGGATCTCTGTTAACAGCAAACTTGAGCCTGTGCCAGTGGCTCATCACCACTGGTCAAACAGCTCCTAAAGAAGGGGGACTTTTGTTCCTCCTTTGGTCTCATGTTGGAGTGAAAATAAACTGCTCTTCCTATTTGCCCACAAGTTCCTTACAGATAGTTTCTACTTCAAGAGCCTTAGGAAGATCTGAGTCTGAACAGAAACCTTCCCACTTCTGTGAGTGGGCTTGTGCAGGCAGATTTAAATTGTGCTGTTTCTCACCTAGCGTGAGATGGCTCCAGATTCGGTTTTATATCTCTGCTGTAATAAATTATAGAGACCTCATCTTATATCTTGCCTCTAGTGAAGCTCTTCTTCACTCCAGAGCTGGCTGAACACCAGTCTGCAGGAGCAGGGCTTGCTTGAGTCTTTTTTAAATACCATGTAGGAATGTGAAATAGTGTAAACTGAAATAAGAGGCACACAATTTAGTGCATATTAGCCGTTGGAATAACCTTCCAAGAGGTTATTTGTTGATAAATATATACAATATTCAGTCATCAGCAGATATTTTTAAAGAAATTATGTTTCAGCCAAGCACAAGTTAGCTGTTAATTAAGCACTATTTATTGACTTAAACTGGGGACAGGCTGGTTGAATTGCTTAATTGCCCTGTCGCACATTAGAGTTCAGACTAGAACACACAGTGGTCTGTTTAGGCCTGAAGTGCTATAAAGCTCATATAATTTCTTTAAATTACTTTTCATTATAGATACCATCATGTTTTTTAAGGCTACTGGCTGAATGGAGAGGATGTTTTCAGACACTAATTAGCATTCCGGCTCCAATTAAAGTTTCGTCCATATCTGTACTTACTTACAACTCAATTATTTTCCTATGATGAATATATTTTAAAATATATTTTCCCTACAGTGTTTTACCCTTTAAAGAGCTAAAATTACATCTTCGAGGTCAAGGATGAGAATACTGTGGTACAATAGGAGAAAACATCACTCAGCAAGCAAATTTAAAATTTAATTCACAGTAATCTAAAGTGGTGAAAAATTTTGAAAAATTATGTTAAAACAAATAGTTATGTCAAGACTGCAGCTAGTGGGATGTATGCCAGTGTGACGCTAGTACAGTCTACATACCCAGGCAGATTTCCCAAAATACTTATTGATAGCTTGCCAAATGATTGCAATCCCAGCAGAAAACCAATTGAAAATTAAGGCTGGTACTTGTCACACCTCTTAAACATAAACATCAAGAAAAGTAATACATGGCAGGTTAAAGACTATTATTGCAGCTGATTAATATCTGGATTTTCATGCAGTGCAAACTCATCCTGTGTTATGCTAATTTTAAATTTGATATGATAGCAAAATCTGACATGCAGAGATTTTTGTCTTGATTCAAAAATACTCTTGAAGAGATTAAAATCTTAATACTTATTTATGTTAAATTCAAGAGCCTTGCAAGAGTTATGAGTTTTAAAAATAATTTCTGGATAGAAAAACTTCTCCAGGAGACATATATCTATTACTAGAGTTATCATTCAGGCCCACTTCAGGCAATGAACATGGACTTGCCTTAGAAGTCAGTAATTTTGTGAGGAGGGCCACAAAAATGGTCAGAGGGCTGGAACATCTCTCCTATAAAGACAGGCTGAGGGAATTGGGGTTCAGCTGAAGAAGAGAAAGCTCTAGGAAAACCTCATGCTGGAGTTTCAATTTGTAAAGGGGCCTTACAGGAAAGAGAGAATTTTCTCAAGGACTGTAGTGACAGGACAAGAGACAGAGGTTTTCAAATAAAAGACCGTAGATTTAGATTAGATACTAGGAAGAGCTTCTTCATTATGAACATGATGAGACCCTGGAACAGTTTGCCACACAGAAGTTGTGAATGCTCCATCCCAGGAACTGTTCAAGGTCAGGCTGGATGGGCCCTTGAGCAACAGTGAAAGAAATCCCTGACTATATTAGGTGGTTACACTAGTTGGTCTTTAAGGGTCCCTTCCAACCCAAACCATTCTCCAACACCATAGTTTATTCTTTTTTCTGTGGCAAGGACCAAATTTATGTAGCTCCACTGCAGCTGATTTTTGACATTCCAGACAAAGCAGGAGCATTAGGTTACCTCTTTGGCTTTTTTCTCTTAATTCTGTATATGTATTTAATTCAGTAGATCTTAAGTGGAAAATGTACATTCAAAGTATTTTCAACAGCACTGGGACTAAGTCTCCAAATGCAAAAATAATCACTTACACACAGTGTATTTAATATCTGGTTACAGAGTCAAGTGTTTTATTCCCTCTGTGGTTTCTCAGTTCCTAATAGCCACCTACACCTGGTGTAGGCAAAAGCTCTTATTTTAGCCTGCTAGTTAGAACTTGTCTTTGGGAAGTGAGAGCTGTGTTTTGATACTTTTAGCCTCAAGAGATCTTAGAAATCTCATAACTCCTAGATTTTTTGGGTTAAGGACAGGTTTAACCCAAGCTTCATTCAATTCCTGACCAGTGACTAAAATAAATGTCTGTGGACCCTGAGTTTTGCAATGAATGAACCAGGAATGGTCTGATCAGGATGACTGGATGAGTGCCTTCATGGGAGTTCAGCAAAGTCCAGGTACCTTTCCAGCCTGTACAGCAGCAATGTAGAGATTAGATGAGAGTAACTTTTCATCACTCATAGACAACTAACTACAAGACCATCTGACTGAAAAGAGATGTTCTGATTAACTTGGATTTAGATGGTGTGAGACCTAAACTCTGCCAGGGCACTACTGACTGACTCAGTTTGCCACTGACCAGGACCCCCAGGTCCCTTTCTGCTGCTGCTCTTGTCTCTCATCCCCTGATCCATGCGCAGCACTGGGGTTGCACTGTCCCAGGTGCAGAATGCCCCTGTTAAACTTGGTACATTTGGTGATTGCCCAGCCCTCTGGTTTGTCCTGGTCTCTGCAGTGCCTTGGCCCTGAGAGTCAACAGCTTTTCCCATTTTAGTGTAATGCAAATTTATTTAGTATTTCTTTGATTTCCACATCCAATTCATTAAGGAAGATATTAGGGGAAGTGGGTCTTTTACTTTCAAGCCCCAGGAATCTAGGATAAATAATTTATCCCCACTTGTCCGCTATTAAGTTTTCTAATAATCTATCATTTTCTCAGATTAGAATTATCTCAAGAAAACTAAGACAGTTCAATTGCCAAAAAAAAAAAAAAAAAAAAAAAAAAAAAAAAAAAGGGAAGAAAAAAGCTTAGTAGAAGAATTTAATTTAAAAATGTTTTCCAGACAGAAAAAAAAAAATGTGTTTGGATTTTGGATTAATGACAAAAATGTCTTAATGATGACATCAGTTTTTGGATATTTACTTGGTTTTAGCCAAACCTGATATGACTGATGTGAACATGTTTTTGTTTTCACTTTTAAATGTTGTAAGAAATTAAGTAATCATTCCAGTGTGATCAGTCATTGTTTAATATTGTTTTCATCCAAACAAATCATGCATCTGGGATGAAACCTAAATGTTATACAGTAGATAGCTGAAGAAAAACTCACTTGTGTAATTTGGCTTTGCTTTTAGTAATTGACTGTGAAGAGCCAATCCTATTCCCATAAGGTTAATTTCTGACCCTTATTAACTTCACTGTAAGCCATTTTCTTTCCTAAGCGTCACTTCAAGCAGCAAATCAGTAGTTCAAGATTAATAACTATGTTGAAACTCACTGACAGTTTAGCATAGATTTTTCTACTGAATTTGTACAAAATGTTCCGTACATTAACTTCCTTTAAATTCTGTTGGCTGCTAGTAAATTTGCTGTGCTGCCCTAATCAAGACAGTTGTGTTCCAACGAAGGAGAGACTGAAGGTCCTTTCCCTCAGGGGAAGCAAGGCTCAGGGGGAACTCATCACAGTATTCCAGTGCTTAAATACTTTAAGGGGCATCTCAAAGAGGAATTAAGCTCTCCCTTCTCAAGGAGCCAGGGATATGGTGGAGTTTCTGTCATCATTTAAAGATGTCTAGGACACAGTGATAGATAATCTCAGTTGGGCTCTCATTCCCACCAAAAGCTGGACCAGATGATCTTTTGAGGCACCTTCCAACCTGGGCTGGTCTATGATTTTGTACTTCTGATCTGAGAATCTTTCACATGAGAAATAATGGAAAAGCTGGATTTCCATGATCAGACTGACAATTAATTTCTTTTTTTTCCTCAGATCCATTGGCCTAGTACACCTCTGCAGGCAGAAGAATGCATAATTAAAGGAAGAGACGATGTAAGTATCACTAATTACAGATTAAATATACTTTAATTATACCTGTGGCTGGTCCAAAACAAGAATTCAGGCATCCCTAACTTAAGAGAGATTAAAGCACAGATATAAAGTGAAGTGTTGCAGGTTAAAAACACGTAACTACTGTGAACACATTAAATTATTAGTTTAATTGCTCTTCAAACCAATTCGTAAACAGGCAATGAACACTTTTCATTGCCTGAACTTTCTTCCAATTCTTATTCTGGTGCTATCAAACAAGATACCTTAATAATTTTCCTTTTCCATTTCTATGTTCTTTCCTTTTCATAAACACAGATTATCTTTTCTATTTTCATATTCCAGTTTATATTTAAAATTCATATTCACTAGAATACATTCTAAAAAGCAGTCATTAATAATTATAAAATACACTGTAATTTATATTTTCCTATAGGTTTCTTGTTCTATTAATAAAAATACTCTGTTTTAATGAACTTCAGACTTGTTCTGTTCTTGTGATTCAATGCCCTCACTGTAATAATTTCCTGGGAAAAGACTTGAAAGCTCACTGATACACAGTTGATATCATTGGCACCACAGGATGAAAGTTCTTCTGGAGGGGAGCTCTCTTTAATTTTGCAGTGCACCAAGCTCTTTATCTGCACCTCATAAACACACAGAGAGTGCACCTAATAAATCCCACAGCTGAGAGAGCTCACACTGAACCAAGGGATGTGAAAATTATGATAGCTTTACAGCAACAGTGACAGGAATGTAGGACACGGAAAGGGACATACAAGGTTTGCCCAGAAACACAGCAAACAGCAGCCTCAACGATAACCACCATAAAATCCCAGTAAATTAGGAAGCTATAAAGATTTTGTCTGAAGTGAAAGCTTGAGAACTGTCCACATTAAGGCACTGGAACCAGATTGGAAAGTAGTAGTAGTATTAGTAGTAGTAATAATAATAATAATAATAATAATAATAATAATAATAATAATATACGATGATGATGATAATGATGATGATGATGATGACGATGACTCTTCCTATTCACCTGCTCTAGAACTGATCCTTTTTGAACTTACGAGTTCATTGTACTTTTTCAGGTTACTTTTATATCCTTGATAATTTCAGGTGGCTTTGGTTGAAAATGGTGGTTTTCTACAATGGCTGAACTTTATGGTCATATTAAATGAATCCCAAACCTAAATTATTTTTCCTTTATTTGATAGTACCGCTAAGCATTGACTGTTGCTAGTTAAATCTCTACCATCCTTCTTTAACCACTACATATTTTCTGATACTCAGGCAATATTTTTGTTAAAAAATGCAGAAATAGGTACTGTTGTTTAAAAACAAAGATAGCTCCCTCAGACTTATGTTTCCTTAAAACCCAAAACCTTTTTGCAATCCAGTTTGTTGTTGTAATTCCTCAGATTTGCATTCTATGAATGTGGTAATTTAAAGAGCTTCATGTGTTTTCCACATTTCTCTGCAACATGAAGCTTTGGAATAACTACTGCTTTTACAGAAAAAAACCCAGAACTTTTAAATAATCACAAGATTCTAGAAGTAGACTCTTTAAGAAAAAGACATTAAAATTTTAAAATTTTCTAATATTGTAATACCAAACAATATTCTGATCCTCACAAGACACCATTATGTATGGACTATGTGAATGAGTTACACTAATTAATATCAAGAAACCTTAGTAATTTCATCAGCATTCTCAGCATTCAGTAAGATAAATTACTCAACCTGAAAGTAATCTAAATTAGAATAAAAAAAACCGTCCTACTATTTTTATTTTCACCCTTATTTTTTGTAGCCATATACCAATATTGACTTAATAATATAATGTCTTAAAATCAACCCTTTGTCCATTTTAATTTCTAATGCTATTTTTCACACCACAAAGTCTAGGAAAAAATTTCTGTATTTCAAACTTTTTTGCTTATTTCCATGCTGTTTCTATTTTTTATTTTCCTTTGCAAAAGATCTGTTACTCAAGGCATAATTATTAAGTAGAACTGATAATATTGTAATAAGCTTCTCAGCATTGAAAGACTTCACATGTAGTTTGCTGCCTCTTTCTGTATAACAGAGCTGGCCACTTTTACAAGCTTGTATAACCTTAAAAAGTTATCAGTTCTTGTTGTAGCAGTAAAATAGCAAGTACTGTAGTCATAAACATTTCCAGAGCTTGTAACAGACTTAATAGGACAATTTAAAAATGCTTTTCTTAACAGCACGTGCATACTCTTAAAATAAGGCCATGCTTTCCTGATTTGAGTGAAGGCAAAGAAAAAAAATCCTTCAGCTGTCATCCAGTGTGCCAGGAATCACACCCGCTAGCCTGCAGTGTGAGAGTTTTCAATTACTCTGAATTACGTTATCAGAATTGGAAATCATTCAGATATAAATCAAATTCTGTAGAGATGCCTCACTCCTCCACACTGAGAAGTTTCAGACTAATAAAATTCCACAGATCTATTAATATATCTGTGGAGCATCCTAAAGACAACCCTAGTATTTAATTAATTGATATAGTATAAAGAAGTCTTATTTCAATGTTCCCTTGGATGATGCATCTCTTCCCTGCCCTGTGTAAAATACATTATTAGTAGGGTTATCAGCAATGCCTTTTTGCTGACACTTCCCAGAACAGCACCTTTTGTCATCTGCTTATAAACAAGCAAGTCTAGCCATTTTGAATTAGTGTTTTTCTATGTTTGGTATTTCCACATTCTAGGGGTTGGGGGTTTTTTGCAGATTTTTTTTCAGGCATTCCTTCAAAGGCACATGAGAGGAAAAAAAAAAAAAGTGAAGATTTTTCCCATTAAAAAAAAAAAATTATATCCCTACCATGATTTTGGTACAAAGATCAAGAGTTCAAAGTTTATATGCATAAAAAAGGAAACCATGGAGTAAAGAACAGACCACCACTGAGAGCAAACAAAGGGAATAAGTCAGGATGGAGGAGAGGGAGAATCAGGAACAGCATCAGCACCCAGTAAAGCATCTATTCAAAAACTTCATGGCATCATAAAATACTTATGGAATTGCATTTTGCTACCACAAGTCAGCAAACATTTGGGAAATGAACATAAAAAGTGGACACCTCTGTCTTTGAGTGTTGATCCATACAAGGAGGATCTCATGCAGCTCATTTAACCCCATTCTTCTCTCATTTCATCAATTCATCTGACTTTATGTTTTTATTTCCTTTAAAAAAAGGAACAAATTAGTTACAAATCAAGAAATTCCAAAGCTGAGATATTAAAGTTTGGTTTGTCCTTTGTACATGAATAATATTTAGTTACACAACAGGTTATTCCTGTGTAGGTTAATTACTTCTATGAATTAGCATGGTATATCCTGAGGAGGAACAGTTAAGGAGGATCAGGTAGAGGGGGAGATTTCTTTCCTTTTTTATTTGCTGGAGCAAATGGAAGACTTACATGTAATGATTTCAGGGATTTGAAGAAAGAAGAAAGATGGTTTCTTAGTTTTGAACCTAATGTGGATTTGCAAGTGTTGAATTCTGCCCATGAATTCCCTCTAGACCCTTCCTTTTTGATGTTAAGTTCTTGCAGTTGTTAATAAGATCCAGAATTGTTCTCACACAAATACAGCAGTCCAAAAATGAGAGTAGTTATCAGTGAAAAACTGGAAATTTTCAAAAAAGGAAATTCCCTTACTCTGTTTTGTATGTTCATTTCAGGATTGTATCAATTGCCTTTTGGAGATGTCTGGGTTACTTCACTGGCTATTGAAAAACCCAGAGAGAATTCCATAAATTACATGTCTAAATGCCAGAACAAAGTTATGGATTAAAACTGGATTAATTCCATTTTAAATGTCTTAAAGCTCAGGGTTCTAAGTTGCAGAAATGTTGAGTAATGAATTGAAATGAACAGTAATTTTGCTCCACTAATAGAAACCATTGAAAAACACCAAAAAAAAATTCAAAAACCAAATCCCAGGAATCCCAAGAGTCCCAAAATCAAGGGGTACTTTTATCTCACTGTCTCCATTTCTAGTTTAGCACAGGAATAATGACCCCACATCTCAAAGGAATGTTTGAAAATGTTTTAATTGTAATATTTATGAAGTTGCAAATACACTAATGAGTCCCAAAATATTGCCCTGGGGGAAATCAGTATTTCTTTTTCAAAGGGGTTTAAACAGTGGAAACAGACAAAGTATGTGTTTATACAATATAAAAATATTGATTAACAATTAATAATACAATAAATTAATGGTGCAATTAAAAATTATATTTGTATAGTGATAAAGTATTCAACTCTAGAGAGAAGCTGTTTGCTGACCATTCACATCTGATGCTCTGAATCTTATGTTTGTGTCTTATGTATCCAATAGTACATAGTAAAGATCTATTCAGATTTGCAGATATCTCCATGACTAAAGAAGCACAAAAGTGTTTTTATAATTTAGTAACTCCTAACTGGTTAAGCATCTTCAATAAGACATTATCAATCAGTGCTCTAAACTTGCTTTTTTAATGTAAAAATGCCCACCCATGAAACTTATGGAGCAGAGTTAGTAATATGAAATGAAATAGAATAGAAAGATTCAATATTAGAATGTCACCAATGGGCACATATGATACTAAAAAAATATTTTAAAAGATAATATTTCCCTGTGGTTATTTTTTACATAAACTAGGATGAATGTGCCAATTACATCCGTGTCCTTCACCGATACAACAGGACTCATCTTCTGGCTTGTGGAACAGGAGCTTTTGATCCACACTGCACATTTATAAGAGCTGGACATCCTTCAGAGGTAAGACATTTGGTTTACAGTACTGATTCTTTCAGTTTAGTTTCCAGCAAAGCCTCTGTGGTTAAAAATAAATATTTAAGGTCAGTTGTTCACAGCTCTCATCTAATAGATATTTTCCCTGATGAAATGTAATGCTGGATTATAATGTAGTTTATGATCAGAGGAACTCACTAATATTTGGAAGTATATTCTGGAGAATTAGGCAAAGAATCCAAAGATCATCTTAGATTTTTTGGTGAGTTATTCACTAGATAAACTGATATAGTAATTCTTAAGAAAAAAAAAAAAGCTTTTGGAGGGAGTTATAGCTAAATCTGTTGGAGTTTTTGTTGTTGTTGGTTTTTTGTTTATTTTTAAAAAATACATCATATATCAAAATATGTGTTAGTTTGATGGGAGATTGAATTTCTTAACAAATCTTTGGTAAATTCTACTTCTTTATACTGGTCTTGTTCAGCAAGTGCATGTAAGCTCCTTAATGATGCTTACAGCAGAATGAAACAGCAGTGCAGAGATCAATAACAGGAATATATCGTCAATATTTTGAATATATTTCTTATGCAAAAATAGATATTGCCTGGACATCTCAGGAGCTGGGATCCTTTCTGTCTCAGCTATATTAGAACAGGTTTAAAGACTCAGCAGAAGTACCAACCTCTCATTTTAAATTAACATGTAAAACTCCTTGGGCATCAGATCTAGGCTGATGAAGGCACGTGTGATGACAGCTTTGGCAACTGAACCAGGGAAATGCACTTTGTGAGGTGAGACTTAATAGATGGAGATGATCCATAACCCAAAGATAAGACTGCTTTTAACTGGAGGGGTCAGGGAGGGTTGCTGGTCAATGGTTTTGTTTGGTTGGTTCACGTGATGTCTCCTGGTGGAGCTGAGCCCTTGTCATGGAGCTGTAGCACCATCCACGGGAGTTCTTGCTTTCCCTTATGGCCAGGAAATCTTGGTTTGAATAAATATTAATTTCATATAAAAATTTTTTTGAAGTGTGCTCATAGAAATCAACTAAGGGATTTACTTCAGGCAAATGTTTTTGATTATTCTTTTCTGAGTAATAATGTATCCTTTTGACAAAAAAAAATGAGAGCATCACCAGAAGCAATCTCCAAGGATCCAATCCATGCTGTGAACCTCCAACTGCTGTCAAAATGAGAAGAATCTCAGAAGTTAGGACTCCAGCACAGCACTTAGATTCAGAGTTGTATGAATTGCAGAAACACACTGTCTTCTAATATTAAGGAAGGACCTCGATAATAAGCAATGTTTAAATAAGGAGGATTTGTGTGTCTTCCTTGCTCCTCTCACAAACCTCCTGTCAGGCTTCCCAGTAAAGTTTGTAAGAAAGCAGTGGCTGTATGTGTAGGAACACTATTTTAGAAAGCATAAACAATAGACTAATAAAAATAGAAGCCAACAAAAAAAAAAAAAAAAAAAGAGAAACAAGATATATATAAGACTGGGTGACCCATGATCATCCCCTTATCTTATCCTTCCTTCCCTTATTTTTGTTTATTATTCTCCCTTGTCACACTGAGGTTCTAAAATTTTAGTCACACTGAAATCATGGGAAAATTTCCTTTTTTTTTTGTTTTTGTTTTTGTTTTTGTTTTTGTTGTGTAGACAGGAAATATATTTTCTACACTAACAAGTAGCTATACTTTTTCCTGTTATCTGAAAAGCTGACCATCAGGACTAGAAAAGACAGATGCCGTTTATATGGTAGGCTAAAAATAACACATGGTATGTGGTCGAATGGGCAAATTTTAATCTTGCTTTTTTTGAGTGATAAGGACATGGTGCAACTGCAGGAAGTGAAAGGACAAGATCCTTCTGCAGAAAACTGCAGCTCAGTCTCTGCTCATCTGTTTGGTCAGAGTATCCTCTTCCCAAAACATCTGATTACTGTTCTCTATTTCTTCCTTCCCAAAACATCTGATTACTGTCCTCTATTTCTTCCACCTTATCTCTCTGGCCATTTTCTCACTGTCTGACTGTCCTGGAAAGGACAGTAGCAAATGGAACAATATTTAAAGTATGACTTTACACTTCCTCATGCCTGAGTAGCACAATTTGTGTTTGAGGCTCATATGTATTTGAACAGTGTCACTTCTGAGACATGTTGAGGTGTAAGGTGTGGGATGAAGGAAGGGAGGGAGCCCTTTATGGCAAACTTCTGTGTATCCAGATGTAATTAATGCAGCATATGAAGGTAGTTGCAGACTTTCATATGGAATTATTAACCAGCAGTATCAGCATAGAAAAATATTTGCTCTGTAGTCAAGGACCTTAACTAGAAGTTTCAATAGTGCTCCCTGAGCTGATGGAGTGGGGAGTATGGGACTATCTCAATAAAAACTGCAGGGTTCCTAAGTTATTAATGGTATATAAATGTAACCTAGAGATGAATTCAGAGAGGCATTTAGGCATGTGACAGAACAGCAGCACTGTATCTTCTGCAACATTGCCTCTTCCCATTTACTGAGCAGCCAACGAGGAACCTGTTGGAACCTAACATCCAGTTAAGGCTCTGGGTCTTGGTGATCACTAATCCCAGGTTGCAGGGACTTTGGCAGGACTACATTTACTTTGTAGTTGGCTTCCAACAAAAGTTTACACAGTCATCCATTTCTGAATAGCCATTTGGTAAGAAAATGAAGCATTGCTGGTTTTCCTTTGAACAGTGGAGATTTCCCAAAGCCATGATCACAAGCACACTGAATGGCATCCTGATTTAGCATGGGTTTGTGAGGCGCAGTACTGTTTGTGAAAAGGAGCATTCTGCCTCCTGTAAAAAATCCTAAATACTTGTACAACCACCAATTCATCTTTTCATATCAAAACCAGGTTTGAGCTGTGTCTTGCAGAACACTGAGCTCTTGTCAAGAAATCATGAAGCCAAAAGGAGATTTCTAAAAATAGGCAGAATTTGATTGCTTCATTGGCAGGTCATTATACTATGGAACTGCCTTAAAACAGAATGTCTAATGTTCTTGAAAAACACAGCAATAATGTCCATTCCTCAGCCAGTCTCTGTAGAAGGTATAAATCTTACAATGTAGTGAATGAAATGTGCTTTGAAATCCTTCACATGCACATTGTGCTATGATACATTACAGCTTCTTTTGTGCTTTCTGTGGTTCTAGAAATTTTATTATGCCATGCATTTTGTCTTAATATGTTGATCATAGAAACCAACAGGAAAGAAATACTGGTTTATTTAATTCTACATCAAACTTATGTTGTACCACCAGAGTACAACCAAATGTATTTTTCTAAATCAAATTACTTTTAAGTTCTATTATACACTATATATCCATTTGAAAGATTAAGTATAAAATGGTTTACTGCACTCTATCCCAATATCAGCTTAATTGATTTCACTGTGGAATTCCAGGCTGCTGAGTTTCATAAAGCTGTTTCAGTTGCTACATGTCTAAAAATATATAAGTATAGTCACTGACTGCAGCTTTTTATCTTTTTCTCTATTTCTAATTACTTTGATCAATGTTGCTTTTCCAAATTTAAACATTTCAGCAAAATACCCAATGTTTTTCTGCCATATAGAAAAAAGTTACAAATTAGGAAAAGTAGTAGTGCTGACTTTGCAGACAGAACAACTACTGATGTTTGCAACAGAATATGTTATAAAGTCTTGTCCAAGAAAACATAGCCGGGCAGTAAATGAATTCATTGTCTCTGGCTTCATGAAATGCTTCCAAATGTCAAAAATCAGTGCAGGTCAGAAAAGATTGGGTTCTTCCAGGTTTTTGTGGGGTTTTTTGTGTTTTTTTTTTTAATTTCATCCATTAAAATAAAGATTATTTTTCCTGAAGAAAGCAACAGTCAGAGACCCTGAAAAACCCCAACCTTTTCATCTGGAAATGCACATGCATCCTTCCCATATACTCTGTGAGATAAAGCCTGAGATGTCTTCAAACAAGATATAGAGGATGAAGAAAAGTTCAGAAAAAAATCTTATTTGCTTGGATTCTCACCAAATTGACATTTGTTTCTCTTGTTGACTTTGATGCCAGCAAACCAGGTGGGGCAGAGGAGAAGGGAAGCACCTGCATTTAGTGTCTTCCTTTTGCATTTATATAAATTTCTCAGTTTTGGCAGGTGACAAGTGCTGAAGGAAGTGCTTTCTGTCTCAGTCTATGTTTCACCACATCTAGCTGCTGGTAACAGTACTCTGGTGCTGTTCTGTATAGCTGAAAATAGCCTGGGTGAGTTTTAATGAACCTTAGATAAATCAAAGGACCTATCTGCAGTCAGGTAATGATTTATCTTTATGAGTTATCTGTTCAGTAGAGCAGCAGGTGTAGGGGTGTCCTGGAGGCTTTCCAGTGATCCATTCTGCCTTATTCACTATCTCACAAAACACCTTTAACGAGTCCACATGGGAGTTTCACCAAGTACAGCTAAAAATTGCTCTGCCTCTATAGGACCTGCAAAATGAGTAGAAATTCCAAAAGAAAACTGTGCAGAAACAATATCCCAGGTTTTTGCAAGCTGCATGGGGACAAGATAGAGCTGATTCCTGAAGAGGAAGGCATCTCTGCATGACAAAACCTGTTGAGGGAATTAAATTTATGAGAAAGAACTATGCGTGAAGAATTTTTCCTCCATAACACACTGTAAATTTTTAATACGTACATGAATCTGGCAGGGTGCCATTTCAGTGCCTCATTTAACTCAGTAAACTGCCTCCAGCTGTATTTCTCCACTTTGAAAGGCTGATGGATTGAGCCACCCTTTCCACAAAATGCACTGGTGGTTTTTGGGGTTCTTCTCTAGGTGTTCCTAATCTGATGTATTCCTTATTATGTTATTTGCTCCTCAATTTGCCAACTGAGATTCTGCTTATCAGGGAAGACCAGATCTGAGTATTTAGTCCTGTTAGAGACAACTTGCTTTTAGTAAGCAGCAGCTGTATTTTTTTTGCTTGGAAGACAGTTCAGTCAAATTGGAACCTTTTTTTTTAA